GTGTGATATTAATTTTATTTTTAGTCAGCTGATAGCGAGACGTCACTCTAGCCAATACAACCTGATATATCATGTGCAACACAGGACTCAACTTATCAGAATCATGTTCTTCAATTACGCCGATAGAAAAACTTTTGTTGAACATTTGATGCCAACCGTACCTAGCAGTAAAATAGGTACCAGGGTGTTAGTCAGCTGTCATGGGCTGCTTCCTGGGGGTGGAGGCCTGGTCGAGGACTGGGCCGCGGGGACACTAAAAAAAAAACACCGAAATAATCTCAAGACAACTTCCATATTTCTTCGTGGATCCCTTAATGATGTAAAGGAAAACCTTCGATATATATTATATATGCAGATATTCAGCAGGTGATGATGAGGTGTTCCTCAATCATGTTCACTCACAACTTCTGAATTTATATACAAATCACCTAAAAAAATCACAATGGCGTGATTCACTTTGATCATTTACCCGGACCATTCAACCTGACCACTTACTATATACACAAAAAATGTTTACTATTCATTTTACAGTTGTATAGAAATAATACATAAAACCACAGAGGTCAATGAATGCAAAAGTATTTCATTATTCAAAGATATATTTTAAAAATAAAGATATCACGTTTGCTGTAATTATTAGTGATACTGTGTAATTTTATACTTAATACATTTTTACTTTCAATCAAGAAAAGGATTTATAATAAAAAATATCGATAATAGAAATATCGATAATTGTAGCTTTTCCTTGAAATCTGTTCAGCTCCTATTTGAAAATATAATACATTTGAAAATATAATACATGTATTATCTTAAATGATTCTGGGAATATCCAGTGTATAGGTTCGAATCCACATTACTACTCCTGTAGATTTTGGGACACCCAAAAAGGGACTTTTGGGACACTCTGTACATTATCCCAAGACTCCAGACAATATTCAGTAAAGAAGATGGGAGCTGGGGACAGGAGGCAGAGCACAAGGCCCCAAAATTATTGGTCGAATGCCGACAATGAATCTGTGTCCTGAAGTTGCCATTAACAGCATATTATCAACTGCATATGCAATGTTGGCAACACACTCTTTCAAAATTTGAACAAGGAGTTACTCAAGACTCTGTATACACTACGTATGTCAGACCAATTCTAGACTATGCAGTGCTCGAGTATGGAATCTACGTTTCGTTAAAAGCCCATCGGAGCTGAACAGATTTCAGAGGAAAGCTGCAAAGACTAGTTGTAGTGGTGTTATGTGGGACAGAAGACACTATGGGCTGGAGACCAGACCACACACTAGAAGGTGAAAGGACGACGACGTTTCGGTCCGTCCTGGACCATTCTCAAGTCGATTGCGGTCTAGCCAATCGACTTGAGAATGGTCCAGAACGGGCCGAAACGTCGTCGTCCCTTCACCTTCTAGTGTATGGTGTGGTCAACATACTTCAGCCACGTTATTGTGACTCATCGCCGGGCTGGATATGGATAATTGGGCTGGATTTTGGATAATTCATGAATTCGTGAGAGGCATTATCCTATGTCTCATGAAAGCAGCGTTACGTAAGGATATTCTGACCGGTGTCGATGTCCGATGTTCACCACTGAAGACAAAATATTATACCATAGTTCGTACCAATTCTAATATTGGTATAGAGGCTTTCCGTGTATACGACGATGAAGCTCTGTTCTTGTTTTTGCAATGAAAATCGATTCATATTGTAAAGAATTACTTGAAGATCCACAAGTATATATGACACACATTTACATTTGAGACAACAGTGACACTAGTACGTCCATTATTGCATATAAAAATATATAGAAATGTCTGTAATTACTGCCCCTTGCATCGTTATCTTTTGAAGCTTAAATTAATCTTTCTCAGACTTCAATTTTTTTGCAAATATGATCAGATACTATAGGACCTCTTATATTTCGTATTTAATATTTCTCATTCTCAGACACACTCGCCCCCCCCCCCTCTCTTAGGGTTGAGAGAACAACAGCGTCTCAAGTCTCTCAACTCTCCCATATTCGTAAAGCTTTCGTAAACTATTCCTAACCATTAGTTACTCGTGTCGACAACAAGCATTGTAGTTACCTCGTCTGCTCTAAATAACAGCAGCATTGTATTACCCCGTCGTTATTACATTGTATTTGGGGCGCCTGACAGCTGAGTGGACAGCGCTTTGGATTCGTAGTCCCGAGGTTCCGGGTTCGATCCCCGGTGGAGGCGGAGACAAATGGGCAAAAAGTTTCTTTCACCCTAATGCCCCTGTTACCTAGCAGTGAATAGGTACCTGGGAGTTAGACAGCTGCTACGGCGCTGCTTCCTGGGGGGTGTTTAACAAAAAGGAGGCCTGGTCGAGGACCGGGCCGCGGGGACGCTAAGCCCCGAAATCATCTCAAGATAACCTCATCTCAAGATATACCCGCAGAGGTGTGCAGCCTCCAGAAGGAAGGGAAAGTAAATATCAGGGGGAAAGCGCCAAGCCATTACGACTATATGGCACTTGGAAGGGGATCAGGATAAGGGGTTGGGATGGGACAAGGGGAAAGGAATGGTGCCCAACCATTTGAACAGTCGGGGATTGAACGCTGACCTGCATGAAGCGAGAGCTGAACCCGCCACTTCGCTAATGGAAATGGTTTCAGATTAAGTGGACAGAGAACTAGAATAATGCTCTTTAATGTAATAGAAATACCCATATATATATATATATATATATATATATATATATATATATATATATATATATATATATATATATTATTAAATATGACCGAAAAAGTAAGATTAATAATTCTAACACGAATTTTCTCAATCTTTCGTACATTACGCTTCACTGTTGGAGGTAAATCAAAAATCACTTCTCCAAAATTCATTTTTATTTCTAGTCTGACGCGACACGGGCGCGTTTCGTAAAACTTATTACATTTTCAAAGACTTCACAAATACACAACTGATGAAGTCTTTGAAAATGTAATAAGTTTTACGAAACGCGCCCGTGTCGCGTCAGACTAGAAATAAAAATGAATTTTGGAGAAGTGATTTTTGATTTACCTCCAACAGTGAAGCGTAATGTACGAAAGATTGAGAAAATTCGTGTTAGAATTATTAATCTTACTTTTTCGGTCATATTTAATAATATATGTCTACAGGAAAGACTGCTACCAAAATATACTAATATATATATATATATATATATAATATCTTCATTAGTTTGGCCAGGGTTCATAAGGATGTGTGTGGGATTCTGTTAGACGTTGTGTTAACAAAATCAGTTCTTCTGGCAGTGTGAGGTAGCAACAAAGGGTGTGTATATATATATATATATATATATATATATATATATATATATATATATATATATATATATATATATATATATATATATATATATATATATATATATATATATATATATATATATATATATATATATATATATATATATATATATATATATATATATATATATATATATATATATATATATATATATATATATATACATATATATATAATATATATATATATATATATATATATATATATATATATATATATATATATATATATATATATATATATAAGTTCCCTGGATCGATGCTACCAACAATGGTATTGTCAGGATCTATAATACATTGCTTAACAAAGTTCATATAGACACCGCCTTTCAGTGCCTAACAAAATCATTAAAAGCATTTTGCCCTCCAAGATAGTACAGTAGGCATGACTAGTTCCTAGGTGGCTTCCGGTTTATTGTTATTATTGGTTTGGAACTAAGCTTAATTAGTTCGGTATATAAGCTCGGCATATAACCACCTCTGGAGGGTTATAGGTTTGAAACTAAGCTTAATTAGTTCGGTATATAAGCTCGGCATATATCCACCTCTGGAGGGTTATAGGTTTGGAACTAAGCTTAATTAGTTCGGTATATAAGCTCGGCATATATCCACCTCTGGAGGGTTATAGGTTTGAAACTAAGCTTAATTAGTTCGGTATATAAGCTCGGCATATATCCACCTCTGGAGGGTTATAGGTTTGAAACTAAGCTTAATGCCCTATCCATCTCTAAAGGGTTATTACACAACTTTACTGATATACTAAATAAATTTAGTATGTCAGTCAACTATATTACGTTCTGAATATGGTCCAGGAATATATATTAGACTCTCGGTGAATATCCACCGAGAAATGGAATCAATTATTATTTATATTATTAATTATATTCAAATAAAATAATAAATCGCACATAAAACCACTCACACAAGATAATAAATCAAGGATATTTTTTTTAATTAACAAATGAGGCAGTTAATCGATTGGCTACAGCTGTTATCTTGTTCAAAGCCTCACACAAGGCGATAAAACCATCAGTAATCAAGAAAGACATTTTAACATTTTCTGTGGTTTAAGTTCGTATTCACTCACACACACACACACACACACACACACACACACACACACACATATATATATATATATATATATATATATATATATATATATATATATATATATATATATATATATATATATGTCGTACCTAGTAGCCAGAATGCACTTCTCGGCCTACTATTCAAGGCCCGATTTGCCTAATAAGCCAAGTTTTCCTGAATTAATATATTTTCTCTAATTTTTTTCTTATGAAATGATAAAGCTACCCATTTCATTATGTATGAGGTAATTTTTTTTTATTGGAGTTAAAATTAACGTAGATATATGACCGAACCTAACCAACCCAACCTAACCTAACCTAACCTATCTTTATAGGTTAGGTTAGGTTAGGTAGCCGAAAATGTTAGGTTAGGTTAGGTTACGTAGGTTAGGTAGTCGAAAAACAAATAATTCATGATAACTTGGCTTATTAGGCAAATCGGGCCTTGCATAGTAGGCTGACAAGTGCGTTCTGGCTACTAGGTACGATATATATATATATATATATATATATATATATATATATATATATATATATATATATATATATATATATATATATATATATATATATAAAAGGCTGTCATTACCATATTCAATCAAGACATTGTTTGGCTTACAGATTTCTGCAAATAAATTCTATAATAATCAAGTGTTCATTAAAAACAAATTTAATTATTACATATACAATAAGAAATTTATTTTGTATCGAACCCTATTTTGTACACATTGAAATAGTAAGGCAGCTGGACCTACTTCCGCACAGATAACATGTTAAATAATAGTGTCCACCGAAACAGCTTGATCTTTGCTGGACGTCTTCATATAATAGTCTATGTTCTATTTACAAATCTTACACTGCTCAGTAAAGTTTCACTGTCCCTACACTGCTTAGTAAATCTCATTTGTCCTCCCCACACACTGCTCTAAAATTTTCTTTGTTCTCCTTGCGTTGCTCGGTAAATATTAGTTATTCTCCTGACAGTGTTCAGTAATCTAGTTTACCCTCCTTGCGTTGCTCGGGATGTAGTGGTCTCGTCTCCCCCTCACACCGGCCAGGAGTCCTCCTTGTTCTTATCAGTAATAATCGTCTTCGTACTCAGAATCTCCCGGGTCCTCACCGATCTCCTCATAGTCCTTCTCCAAGGCTGCCAGGTCCTCCCGGGCCTCTACGAACTCGCCTTCTTCCATGCCTTCTCCCACGTACCTGCAGAGAGGGAGAGAAGAGGGGCTATAAAGGTTCTATGGGAGAGCAGAGGGCCTTAGATGTTCCTATGAGAGAGCAGAGGGGCTTAGATGTTGCTATGAGAGAGCAGGGGGGCTTAGATGTTGCTACGGGAGAGCAGAGGGCCTTAGATGTTCCTATGAGAGAGCAGAGGGCCTTGGATGTTCCTATGAGAGAGCAGAGGGCCTTAGATGTTGCTATGAGAGAGAAGTGGGGCTCAGATATTGCTGTAGGTTAAAGAGAGGAGCTCAGAGGTTGTGTGAGTGCCGAGTAGTACAGAGGAGAAGAGGAGATGCTTACGTGTAGCTACAGATGAAAAAAGGAAAGATGCTGATACATATAACTGGGTATAAAGATGAGAGAATCTTACCTGTAACTACTAAGGAAGGATTATCTCACATTCCTGAAGGGTATCTGAATGTAAGAGACAACAGGGGACTTACAAAGCTCTTACACCGAGTCTCCTTCCAAGTTTGCTCTTAAGAATAGATCATTCCAAAGGAACCGAAATCTCACTCAATGTGTTCTTGGAGGGAAGAAAATAATTTGTCGGAGCTAGAACAAAATCTCTAAGAGTCAGTTCGTGAGAAGTGAAGATCACAGTTGTCATGGAAAATTTGGGATGGTCGTGAAACTCTCTGCAATTTGTTCTAAATCAAATATTATTAGGATTTGTGAGTTGAATAGTAAAAATGAAACTGAGCATTAAACTGAATGATTGGTGAATCACACTCAGTAATGTTGAGAAGAAATTGCAACTTAGGTTCGACTTAGGACCATCGGTCCCGATAGGTTAGGTGGCTTGGTCTGGTTCAAACACCTTCAAGTTAGACAAAACCAAATCACTTTAGACGCCGGTCAAATTGTGAGAACGGGATGGACAGCGAAACGTGAAAAAAAAATAGAGAGATGGTAACGTGAGGTAATTATGAAGAGGAAGGGCCAAGCTACTACGACTATATCGCACTTAGGATATCAGGATAAGGGTTTGGGGTGGGACGGGGGAAGGGAAGGAATGGTGCCCAACCACTTTGACGGTCGTGGATTAAATGCTTTTCCATATGAAGCGATAATAATAATATTTACAATAAATTATCAGGGGAAAGTGCTAAGCCATTGTGTCTATATAGCACTTGGGAGGGAGCTGAATTTGGGATGGGACGGGGGAAGCTCGGGGGATTGAACGCCGACCTTCATGAAGCGAGACCGTCGCTCTACCGTCTTGCCCAAGTAGTTCGACCCATATGAAGCCTTGACCCTAGAAATCTTGAATCACCATATGAAGCGAGACTGTCGCTCTACCGTCCAGTCCAAGTCCAAGAAAGAGAAATTTACACAGAAATACTTCCAGTATTTCTCTATAAACTGTAAACTCGACCTTTGCCAAATAAATAATTCATGCATGGCAGAGCCAAATGAATAACATGCGAACTAAAGATAAAATATTAAAAATAAAGAATTAAGAAGAAAGCTTAGCCAGCCATAAACCAGATCAGAGTGAAATTATCACTACAACCAAACAAAAATCCCAACTCCAGCCCAAAAAGTTGTGCAAACAGATGGGAATTCATTTTTTTACCAATGGACGAAGGCTCTCTTGGCGAAGAGAAGGTCGAACTTGTGGTCCAGACGTCCCCAGGCCTCGGCGATGGCCGTGGTGTTGGACAACATACACAGTGACCTGGGCACGTGGGCCAAGTCGCCTCCAGGTACCACAGTAGGCGGCATGTAGTTAATTCCCACCTGCCAAAAAAACAGTTGAAAAATTTTGAGTCTCAATCACGTGACCTAACACAGCTTTGGAATGCATGATGATGGTCATGATGATTTCCATGGCTGTTACTTGCTTGCTCTTTTGTTTTGTTTTCGTATGTTGGGGGTTTTCATTCCGCTTTGTTTAGACGTAATTGGTGTGATTCGTTCGGTAACGTGACGCGTACGTGTTCGGGCGTCGTGGTTTAGAACGACACTATGTATAACTTTCATTCACCTCATTTAATGCTCAGTCTTCAGCCTCTTTTTTTTCCCTCTGTTCGTTCAAGTCTTTTGACCTTCGATATGTGTTCCAAGACTCATTTCTCAGCCTTTTCCTCACCTGTTCACTCATATCTTCTGCCGTTCCATTCTCGTCCAATAAAAATATTAAACATCTTTATAAGGAATAAGTTTTTAGTGAAGTGTATAATATTAGAAATATCTCAGTTAACTGATTCATACCATAATATTACCTATTTGGTGGGTGAAAACTTTCCCACTAATCATCTTTACATAATTCATACTCGAATTGGAGCCAAAAATTCCAATGATCCTGCTGTTAGTGTTGAATTTAACATTAATTTTAGCATTCTGCGAGTGTTCTCCCATTAAGTGAATTATGGCAATGAAAACGAACTGTCTGTGGTCTGCTTGGAGCTATTGGGTCATTGAATAGCCTCGGCTTTCAATGACTTTTATTACTGTAGTAGACATTTGGTCAGAGTACTGGACTTGTCAAGGAGTTTCATTGCTCCTGTCAGTCTAGGTTTGAACCTTTAATGGGAGGAGTCCTTTCGGATATATATATATATATATATATATATATATATATATATATATATATATATATATATATATATATATATATATATATATATATGTAACCTATATGTTCTACCCTATATGTAACTCCTTTTTTGTAACAAAGTTCAAATAAAACAATTATATATGTGTACATACAAAAGAATGGGGGTGGTAGGAGAAGATAATATTAGTGTTCAGTGAGAAACCACAAGGTCTCCTCTGAATACTTTATATTTTCTTCTCCGAGGCTATGGGTCCCCACATTGGCACCAGAGGTGGTACCCTCACAAACTTGTGTATATATATATATATATATATATATATATGCAATTGACGATCACAAAACACTGATCATTTTATGCGGAAAATCCACAGAGAAATATGAAATGAGGTGAACGTTTCGGCTTAATATTGACAAAGGCTTTAACAAAGCCGAAACGTTCACCTCATTTCATATTTCTCTGTGGATTTTCCGCATATATATATATATATATATATATATATATATATATATATATATATATATATATATATATGTATATATATATATATATATATATATATATATATATATATATATATATATATATATATATATATAATATTGATAAGGAACTAAGTTATTATATATGAACGGACAAGATCATAAGTGATGATAGGAATCTGTCTGGATACATTTCTGTCAGAGTCACCTTCACTTAACCTCACTCACATGTTACTGCAGACAGTGATGGCCCATCCTCACTAGAACACGTCTAAATCGGGTCTAGGATTGACTCGTTCACGTCTCACAATTGGGAATCCCGGGGTCGAATCCCGGGCGGGACAGAAATGGTAGGGCACGTTTCCTATCACTAAATCCTTCTGTTCATCTTGCAGTAAATAGGTACTGGGGAGTTAGTCAGCTTGGTGTGGGTTGTATCATGGGCGGGGTCAGTATTTAGACCTAATGGGGGGTCGAAATACTTGGACTCTGGGCCCTTGGGACTCTGGGATCTTGGGACTCTGGGCCCTTGGGACTCTGGGCACTTGGGACTCTGAGCCCTTGGGACTCTGGGCTCTTGGGACTCTGAGCCCTTGGGACTCTGGGCTCTTGGGACTTTGAGCCCTTGGGACTCTGGGCCCTTGAATATTGCACATAAATCCACAAGACGTATCTTGTGTACCGATTTCCGCAAGAACTGGGAAGAACTTTCTGATGCTACTCACAGAGGAGCATATATTCTAGCCTAACGATGTTTGCTCTATACAAATCCTATAAGAGAAAGGCTCTCCGCGACTGACCTTGAACCCCGTTGGACACCACTCCACGAACTCGACGGTCTTCATGTTCTTGATGGCCTGGATAGCGGTGTTGACGTCCTTGGGCACCACGTCTCCGCGGTAGAGCAGCGTGACGGCCATGTACTTACCGTTGCGGGGGTTGCACTTCACCATCTGCATCCCCGGCATGAAGCACTCGTTGGTCAGTTCCGCCGTCGACACCTGTCGGAGGAAGACGACACCAGTTCGGTGGCGAAGGGCGAGAAGCGTCAGTCTTTCGGTGGAAGACCGCCAGCCGAAAAATCTTAATTTCTCGTGAAGTGAGTGTATTTTTTTCTTTTTTGTCGTAAACTTGAGAGCGGGGAATATTTGAATTTTATCAGGGCAAAAGCGCCAAGATGAAGATTAAGCCATGCAAAAGGTGACACGGGCATGAATAGCCCGTAAGTGGTGGCCCTTTTGAGCCATTATCAGTATCAAGAGCTGATACTGGAGATCTGTGGAGGTGCAACTGCACCCTGCGTGACGGGAGATGTCTCCCGTGAATGTGTGTGAAAAAGCGCCAAGATATTATACGACTATATATAATAGTTGTCCTGACCTCTTGGAAGGGGTCAGGATAAGGATTTGGGAAGGGACCTAGGGATTAAGAAAATCAGAATTTTCGTGTGCCACAGCGGAGACAGAGCCATTACATACCTGCATGTGGTTGACGCTCTCCGCGGCGTGAACAGGGGCGTAGTTAGCTAATGGGAAGTGTATCCGTGGGTAAGGCACTAGGTTGGTCTGGAACTCCACCAGGTCGACGTTGAGGGCACCTTCAAACCTGCGGGCGAAGAAGGATTGGGGGGGCAGTTCGAAGTGTCATTCCAAGGGAATGCCCCTCGCTCGTTCGTTTTAAGTGGCCCAACGGAAGGGAAGGGAAGGGAAGGGAAGGGAAGGGAAGGGAAGGGAATTATCAGGGGAAAGCGCCAAGCCATCACGACTATATAGCACTTGAAAGGGGTCAGGATAAGGATTTGGAATGAGACGGGGGAAAGGAATGGTGCCCAACCAATTGGACGGTCGGGGACTGAACGGAGGAAATTCTGAATATCTGCTATTGTGAATCCCATAATATATATGATGTGGAGCGATGATATAGTTAGTGTATCTAACGTTGCTTGATTAATGTTGGGGTTATGGCCTATTAACTATACGAAGCTTACTGACGAAGTTTACTGACTAACAAGCAAGTATACTTTCGTCCTAAACATAGCCTAGGACTGAAGTAAACTCTCAGTGTACCCAGAAGTACAGTCTACCTCTCGGTGTATATGCCATTGTTGCATCTCCCTACCGTTAGTTCTGTATTAAAAACAATATTTAACATACAACTTTTGTATACAGTTGCAAATATTTAACAAAAACATCAACTCGACTAACATTTATCATTGTACTTACAAAACTACAGGATTTCTTTCTATATTTCACGTACTTTAATACATAAAAAGATTTTTAAATGTTTCTATTGGTTCCTCAAACCAATCCAAACCTAACCTAACCTAACCTAACCTAACCTAACCTAACCTAACCACATCTAATTCAACTAAACCAGATCTAATCTAACCTTACTCAACCTTCTACATTTACCAAGAAATCCGCACACAAGTGTTAATTGCTTTGAACCAGAATGCGAATTGAGTATAATTGTATATAAACACAAATCGACAATCACAATCCTTAACAGTGGTTCTCAACCAATGTTTGTGTCGAGGATTCCCATATATTAGAAGTTATATCCAATTGCTCAGAAGTGCGTTCAAACACTGAGTCAGTGAGAGTGAAAACCTTTGCAAAGTTAACGTGGGAATAAGCACAAGATCAGAGTTCAAAACGAACCCTTGTAGACACAAAGGGGTGTCTACAAGGGTTCGAGTCTCTTAAATAGCGGAAAACAACACGTGTCGATGGAAAACTTATATTGTTTTGGAATAGTAACACCAGTTATTATCAACCTTGTCCTCCCACAAAGAACGTCGCACTTCGATCGTATGCATTACATAAGGCGAAAAATTATCGTATTAGAAATTGGAAGCGGCTCGCGAAAATAACAAGGGGAAAGCGTAAAGTCATTACGACTATATAGCACTTGGAAGGGGGTCAGGATAAGGATTTGGGATGGGACTGCGGGGGAAGGAATGGTGGCAAACCACTTGGACGGTCGGAGGATTGAACGCCGACCAGCGTGAAGCGAGACAGTTGCTCTACCGTCCAGCCCAAGTGGTTGTGGTAGGTTAGGAGAGGACATTTTAAATTGACCGTTTTCTTGACGTTGGGAAACCTACTTAGGAGGACGGACTGCACTGTTAGTTCCTGAATTAGCGTGGACGAAGTCTTAGTAAGGGGAGCTTTGCCAGACCTGAGTGCAAGTGTCACAGAGTTACACTAATTATCTATAATCATTATAATGACTAGAGCTAATCATTCAATGTATGAACGTGTGAGCCTCTGCCCTGAGAGAGAGAGAGAGAGAGAGAGAGAGAGAGAGAGAGAGAGAGAGAGAGAGAGAGAAAGCACTTCATAAATAAATTTTGTATCCAGAAAACGGTCCGCAGAGCTTCAAAGGTAACTGAGCTGATTTACTAAAAAGCGAAAAATTGGGAAAGAAACAAAAAATGGGAGAAGGAAGGAGGAGGAGGAGGAAGAGATAGATGTTGATTAATAATTAAATGCAAACATCCACCACATGTTTTCTGGCCTTGAGGAGGGATGTCGGTAAGATAGACACGTCAAGGGTTTCCAGTTCAAGACGAACATATAAACATTTGTAAATTTGGCCGGGCGGAATATTCTCTTGATAGGGACCCCTTGGTACCTGAGGGAGGCGGTGATGGAGGAGACGATCTGGCTGATGAGTCTGTTGAGGTTGTGGTAGGTGGGTCTGGGGACGTTGAGGTTCTTGTGGCAGAGTTCGTAGATAGCCTCGTTGTCGACCATGAAGGCCACGTCGCAGTGCTCCATCGACGTGTGCGTCGTCAGGACGGAGTTGTAGGGCTCCACCATTGACGTGGAGACCTGCAGCAACCCCCACCCACTGTTAGATCACTTCTATATTACCTTAGTATGTGTGTGTGTATATAATGATCCATCACTTAGCATCTCTTGTACTCTGTCTTGAGTGCAAACGTCTGCAGCTGTCAATATCCCACAAATACAAGACTTCAGCACCTGTCAGACTCACTGAATATCAGACTTCAGCACCTCACACACTTCACTGGAAAACATTCTACATTTTATAAGTACCATATATCATGTGCATTATAGCTTAGTACATATTAACGTTGTTAAATTACTATGATAATTACGTTTGAGGTGAAGTTTTGTGTATATATATGTGTGTGTGTGTGTGTGTGAGGAGGGGGGGGGGGTAGGTGTGTATATTGCTGTATAGCCCTATATGTATGTTTGTGTATTTGTTTGCATTTGTATGATTATGTGGATATAACGTTTGACAACTGGCCTGCGGCGCCGGGTAGATGGCAAACTCCAGCTTGGTCTTCTTGCCATAGTCGACAGAGAGGTGTTCCATCAGCAGCGAAGTGAAGCCGGAGCCGGTGCCACCGCCGAAGGAATGGAACACCAGGAATCCCTAAACACAACAGAGGTCAGAAAAAAGAATGAGTGCCAATAGACACATTAGTGATACGAATGTTGTTACATGTTTTTGGTGCCAATATATCATTTTTTTCAGTTCGAAGTAGATGGTCGAGGCACTGTACCTGGAGGCTGGAGGCTTGGTCGGTTAATCTGCGGATCTGGTCGAGGGTAACGTCGATCATCTCCTTACCGATGGTGTAGTGTCCGCGAGCAAAATTGTTGGCAGCGTCCTCCTTACCAGTGACCAGCTGCGCCGGGTGGTAGAGCCGACGGTACATCCCTGTTCGCACCTCGTCTATATAGGACAGAAAATTCTCATTGATATATGGCACCCAGGAGTATATAGGAGCCCACCTGTTATTAACGGTGTCCACGGGATTAATATACTTGATATCTTGGCTTTGACATATATGAAGGGATGGGAACTGACAGTTAAACGGAGCTTAGGAAGGGAACTATCATGGGGTAAAGTGCCAAACCATCACGACTATATAGCACTGGGAACGGATCAGGATAAGGATTTGGGATGGGACTGGGGAAAGGAATGGTACCCAACCACTTGTGGACGGTCGGGGATTGAACGCCGACCTGCATGAAGTAAGACCGCTTACCAATAACTGAAGGCTCCAGGTCGACGAAGACAGCACGGGGCACGTGAAGCCCACTCTCCATCTCGCTGAAGAAGGTGTTGAAGGCGTCGGCGCCGTAACCGATGGTGTCGTCAGCGGGCATCAGGCCGTCTGGGGTGATGCCGTGTTCCAGGCAGTATAACTCCCAGCAGGCGTTGCCGATCTGCACTCCAGCCTGTCCCACGTGGATACTCATGCACTCACGCTGGCGAAGGACACGAAGGTGGCGGTGAGTGCGTTGGGGGGGGGGAGGGACAGGAGGTTTTAGGAGTTTTGACCCGAGGATATGGTGATGATCCAGGTGTGTGGTGGTGACACAGGTGTGTGGTGGTGACACAGGTGTGTGGTGGTGACACAGGTGTGTGGTGGTGACCCAGGTGTGTGGTGGTGACACAGGTGTGTGGTGGTGACACAGGTGTGTGGTGGTGACACAGGTGTGTGGTGGTGACCCAGGTGTGTGGTGGTGACACAGGTGTGTGGCGGTGACACAGGTGTGTGGTGGAAGTTACACAGGTGTGTGGTGGTGACCCAGGTGTGTGGTGGTGGCACAGGTGTGTGGTGGTGACACAGGTGTGTGGTGGTGACACAGGTGTGTGGTGGTGACACAGGTGTGTGGTGGTGACACAGGTGTGTGGTGGTGACACAGGTGTGTGGTGGTGACACAGGTGTGTGGTGGTGACACAGGTGTGTGGTGGTGACACAGGTGTGTGGTGGTGGCACAGGTGTGTGGTGGTGACACAGGTGTGTGGTGGTGACACAGGTGTGTGGTGGTGACACAGGTGTGTGGTGGTGACACAGGTGTGTGGTGGTGACCCAGGTGTGTGGTGGTGGCACAGGTGTGTGGTGGTGACACAGGTGTGTGGTGGTGACACAGGTGTGTGGTGGTGGCCCACGTGTGTGGTGGTGACACAGGTGTGTGGTGGTGACACAGGTGTGTGGTGGTGACACAGGTGTGTGGTGGTGACACAGGTGTGTGGTGGTGACACAGGTGTGTGGTGGTGACACAGGTGTGTGGTGGTGACACAGGTGTGTGGTGGTGACCCAGGTGTGTGGTGGTGACACAGGTGTGTGGCGGTGACACAGGTGTGTGGTGGAAGTTACACAGGTGTGTGGTGGTGACACAGGTGTGTGGTGGTGACACAGGTGTGTGGTGGTGACACAGGTGTGTGGTGGTGACACAGGTGTGTGGTGGTGTTATAAATTTCATCCTTCTATATTGGCTATTAGCCACATTCTCAAGATATTCTCCATCTTGGACTTGGGTTGGACGGTAGAGCGACGGTCTCGCTTCATGCAGGTCGGAGTTCAATCCCCGACCGTCCACAAATGGTTGGGCGCCAATCCTTCCTCCCGTTCCATCTCAAATCCTTATCCTCATCCCTTCCAAGTGCTATATAGTCGTAATGGCTTGGAGCTTTCTCCTGACACACACACACAAGGGAAGGGAATTGTGTGTGTGTGTGTGTGTGTGTGTGTGTGTGTGTGTGTATGTGTGTGTATGTGTGTGTGTGTGTGTGTGTGTGTGTATTCACCTATTTGTACTCACCTATTTGTGTCTGCAGGATCGTTCATTGGCTCTTGGATCCCGCCTTTCGAGCCATCGGTTGTTTACAGCAATGAATCCTGTCCCATTTCCCTATCACGTCTAGTTTTAAAATTATGAACAGAATTTGCTTCCACAACCTGCTCCTGAAGTGCATTCCATTTTTCTTCTACTCTCACGCAAAAAAAAAAAAAACTTCTTAACATCTCTGTGACTCATCTGAGTTTCCAGCTTCCACCCATGTCCCCTCGTTCTGTTACTATTCCGTGTGAACATTTCGTCTATGTCCACTCTGCCAATCCCCCTGAGTATTTTATATGTTCCTATCATATCCTCCTCCCTTTTCCCTTCTTTGTTCTAGTGTCGCAAGGTTCAGTTCCTTCAGGCGCTCTTCATACCCCATCCCTCGTAACGCTGGGACTAGTCTCGTTGCAAACTTCTGAACCTTTTCCAGTTTCCTTGTGTGTTTCTTCAGGTTGGGACTCCATAATGAAGCGGCATACACTAAGACTAGCCTCACGTAGGCAGTGTAAAGCTCCCTAAATGCCTCCTTACTTAGGTTTCTGAATGATCTAACTTTTGCCAGTGTGCAATACACTGCTGTCGTTATCTTATTTATATGTGTCTCAGGAGTTAGAGTGTGAATGTGTATGTGTGTGTGTATGTGTGTGTGTGTGTGTATGTATGTGTGTGTGTGTGTGTGTATGTGTGTGTGTGTGTGTGTGTGTGTGTGTGTGTGTGTGTGTGTGTGTGTGTGTGTGTGTGTGTGTGTGTGTGAGGCTCGCGTTCATATACTGCGTAACTTGAGCACAATATTAGGAGGGGGCGTAAGTCGATGGGGAGAGGTAGAGGGGAGAGTTGAGGCGTTGGTAGGGAGGTGGGGTGAGGGGAAAGGATAGACGGGAATAACCATGAAATCACCACCGCTACCACCTACCCACCTACCCACCTACTCTTCCCCTCCTCCCCTCCCCATCCCCTCACCCCCATAATATACTCCTGTTTCCCCCCTCCACTCCTTCCCACCATCATCATCAATTCATGAGGCCTTGAACTGGTCCAACATTATATCTTGCTGTCGTTTCCAAGGACAAGCTTCACGGGCCCATCATCACTCCTCAACACACCTCACACACACACACACACACACACACACACACACACACACACACACACACACACACACACACACACACAGGGCCTGGTAGCCTGGTGGATAGCGCGCAGAGCTCGTAATTCTGTGGCGAGGGTTCGATTCCCGCACCAGGCAGAAACAAATGGGCAAAGTTTCTTTCACCCTGAATGCCCCCTGTTACCTAGCAGTAAATAGGTACCTGGGAGCTAGTCAGCTGTCACGGGCTGCTTCCTGGTGTGTGTGTGTGGGGTGTGGAGAAAAAAAATAGTAGTTAGTAAACATTTGATTGACAGTTGAGAGGCGGGCCAAAAGAGCAAAGCTCAACCCCCGCAAACACAATTAGGTGAATACAACTAGGTGAATACACACACACATACACACACACACACACACACACACACACACACACACACACACACACACTGGAACCAGCTAAGTGAGAAGATGGTGGAGGCCAAAACCGTCATTAGTTTCAAAGCGTTGTACGACAAAGAGTACTGGGAAGACGGGACACCACGAGCGTACTTATGACGTTGTACACTAACACATCGCCCAGCCAACGCGTACCGTAATCCCAGCGCCATTCCATGCTTGCACCGTTAATAGCAACATACAAAAAAAATATTCGTATTACGCTGGGTGTTTGCTGGGACGTCGAATTTTCCCGGATAATGACACTTAAGTGTTGAAACTGCCCGCGTACTGAGCTCGTTTGTATTGATCGTTCCCCTCATTTGTAACACTCTTGGGTCGGTGATTAACCACAAGTTCACCTGCCCGGCCTTCACAGATCAGGAACTGTGTTGACCAAAAGAGGGTTCAGGCCAATGGTGTTGTATGAGCTTGAAGGAACTACCTTTTCCCTAGTTGAAATGTTTCCTAGCCACACCTCCATTGATTTAATTTGTGATTTTTTAAATTGAAATAAGTTTATTGAGGTAAAATACACACAAAGGGATGAGGTAGCTCAAGCTATTCTCACCCCGTTCAGTACATCGTGTTCATACATACATAGATACACATCACAAGCAATAAACGTATTACCGAACATTCTAAGAGATAAACATATACATTTTCTCCTTTTGTTACATTGTCTAAATGTTTTTTCGTACGTCTTGCCCATGGGTTTTCCCTAGGAGGAAAGGAAGGACATTGCTTGGTTGGTGAACACTCGCATAAAAGGCTATAATGCTTTCTTTTAAGGCTTTTCTTGCTTCAATGTCAACGTCTGACATTGGCCACAGTCTGTTCCCATTCTTCAAGCAGACAGTTTAATAACTGGAACACAGGGGAAACTTTTAGTTTTCATGAAATCATTGTTTTTCCTCTTAGTGTTTATTATTTAACCCACCTTTTAAAAACGATAGTGGTACTTATAGCTAAAGTTTGACCAAACTTGCTCGCCCTTTATACACTCCCACAATCGAATTGAGAATGGTCCAGGACGGACCGAAACGTCGTCGTCCCTTCAACTTCTAGAGTGTGGTCCGGTCAACATACTTTAGCCACGTTATTGTGACTCATCGCCTGCACTCCCACCCATTCTCACACTCAGCCATACCCACACCCAGTCATCCACACACAGCCACCCCTCGACACACCCACAGTCATGCACACACATTTGTTGAAAGGCGGGACCAAACAGTTGAGAGGCAGGACCAAAGAGCCAAAGCTCAACCCCCGCAAGCACAACTAAGTGAGTAAATCCATCCCTCGACACACCCACAGCCATCCACACACATCCACCAATCCCATCACCAACGACGTAAAACAAATGAGAAAATCTACACAGAACTCTCTAAGAGTGACCTTGGCAACTTACAAAATTAGCATGACAAAATAGTTACTTGGACTTAATAACCTTTAATGGGAGGTGTTGGGAATGGAGGAGGTGACAGGAGGCCATCATGCCACACCATGATAAAGAGGAGCCACGTACAGGAATCGATAAAGAAGATAGAAGAGAGGACGTGACACACAGACTTATAGAGATCAAGCTATCAGAAACACATGTAATCGGCCGAGGCAGAAACTTTGATCAAGCTTGATTCGGGTCACTGCACACTACCTGCACGAGGGCACAGCTCTAGTGTGCAGCTCTCAGGCGTGCAGCTTCGAGGATTGCAGCCCCCTAAACGTGCAGCTTTGAGGCGTACAGCCACTAGGCGTCCATCTTCGAGGCGTGCAGCCCCCCGGCGTGCACACGCACACATGAGAGGCGGGACCAGAGAGCCAGAGCTCAACCCCCGCAAGCACAACTAGGTGAGTACAACCAGGTGTGTACACACACACACACACACACACACAGTCTGTGAGCAGCAAGCCTCCCCCCCCCCCTCCCCGTAATACAATATTCACGACCATTGATTCCTGGTGATAGCATCGTAGTGCGTAACGCTTTCATCCTTCCACCCTGAGAACAACGCGGACACTGCGTCCTCTTTCTCTACCACTTGCCAAAGTGGTTTTAGAAAGTGGAGGACCCCCCCGATAACTCCAGACCAGTTCAGGAAGGAAAGTGTACTTGTGGAATGCCTCTCTAAGGACACGACTTGAAAAGAAAGCACTTCGCTTATCATGCCAAGGACGCTGTCGATTTCTTGTTCTGTTGACATGTTCAGTTCGATGATGGAAGAGAAGGGCGTGCGGGGGGGGGGCATCGAACTCCAATGATGGAGGCTTCAGAGAGATCACTTCGATTATTCTGGAGTTCTTGATCCTTTCCAAGTGGAGTTTGTGGTCAAACTCTTGAGTTTAACATCATTGTGGTTGAACTGGTATAGTAATATTATTCTTTGGGGTCTTTTTACATCATGGCCGGAAGGTAATGTCATTCAGAGGGCGACTGATTGTGCTAGAAAGTTCCTTCTTGCAGATTGTGTGTAGATGATTTCAATTTCAAGTGTAGATGATTTCAACGATTCTTCGCGGCAGGGGATCGTATTCCAGGGACCTGCCCGTAACGCTACGCGTACTAGTGGCTGTACAAGAATGTAACAACTCTTGTATATATCTCAATAGTTCTGCTATCGCCGCTTTGCTGGCGGCATCCTTCCTTCATTGCTGGCTGGTTTATAAGGCTGTTTGTGTTTGTAGCTCGCAGGGTCGCGTAGCCATCACAGCCAGGTTGATCTGGCAACACCGGCAGGAACTTGTGAAGTTGTATCTTGAAACTTCTACTGTCGTTCAAGCGATATTTCGTGTATTTGCTAGCAGGAGATTGACCAATCGTGGACCTCTGATGTTTACTGTGTGCTATCTAAACCTGTTTATAGCGCCCCGAGGTCACACTGGATTGGTGGTGCACTTCCTGCCGTGTCTCACGCGTGTGTGTCGAGATTTCTGCTGTACAGATACCAAGACGGTACACGACACCAAAATGGCGCATGACACGACAATAAATGTATTATATCTGGCAGAATAAGACGAAGTACTCATTAAGTATATCACCTTGCAGACGTTATTGGACTAAGAGCCTTTGTAGGGCGCAGGGTTGAAGACATGTTGGGAGGCATTGTTGACACGCAAACACGTTCTAATTGGCACTGACAGTGCCAGACAGTTGAAGAACATCCCAATAATCATTTACAACTTTAGCTATCGTATTGAACCTCGACGCAATATGTCCCTTCAAGCTGAGGAAGATAGCGAGAGTGAGAGCTTCTAGGCCCAGAGAGTGTTTATGTTCAATTCTGCTGCGTTTAACTTGATTTACAGAAACTCTTGAGATATCAGTAAACGTCACCATATGTTGAAGCTTGATATCTAATGATATATCCCCAAGAGGTATAACCTGCTTCTCGGTAAATATACACTGGGAGTCTACTTTAGTTCTGAACTATGTTAAGGACTAAAGTATATACTCGCTATAATTGGTCAGTAAGCTATAGTTACGGCCTTAATAACCCTCCAGAGGATGATAGGCCTTAATCCCAACATCAAACCATCCAACGACCCCTGCAGTCGCTTAAATGTAGCGCCCGCTAGTACCTTACGTCTAACAGAAACCTCCTGACCTTCAGAAACACCTGTAGTGCACAACACCGTGTCACTATAACACCTGTACTGAGCAACACCTCTCGTGCTCACTCAAATTATTATGACAATCCTGTGTTTCGTGTCCTTGGGTAATTTTCCTAAAAATTCATCATTGCAATTATTCTCTTTAACTTTCTCGTATATGTTCTTTGACCCGTAGGTTGAAGAACAATATAAATTGTTTTTATAGTAGACAACAGCATAAATCTTATAAAATAGTTTATAACCTAAAAAAAAATGGCTTCATGAATTTATATAATCAAAATTTAATTATGTAAGTGCTATTGGCGGTAGGAGGTTAGGGTGTTCATTAGTAGTATTTAATATTTATTTCATATTATTTATAAGGAGGGAGGGGGGGGAGGGGTGTTGTATTAATTGTTTAGTTCAGCAAACATCAAACCCATTGTATCTGTTGAGAGTTTGTATTTTGTTTGCGGTGGCGAAGTGGCAGGTGTGTTTTGTGATTGATTTGGGGTCCCTGTGTTAGACAGGTGAACGTACCTTGCATGATTGGGCACCGTCGATAGACTGGTAATAGTAATAATACTTGGCCTGATTGGGTAACGTTGCTTGATTGACTTGACAGGTGGTCACAATCTTGACCATGACCTTTACGGGAGAAATCGGATTCGATTCTATCAACTGAGGATAATTTTGTCAAGGCAGATACACAACTCTGGGTCAGTACGACTGATATGTTACCCTACCTGACACGACTTAACCAAAAGAAGCATAGCTTAACAGAACCAAACTAAACCTAACCTAACCTAAACCTAACCTAACCTAACCTAACCTGACCTGACCTAACCTAACCTAACCTAAACCTAACCTAAACCTAACCTAACCTAACCTAACCTAACCTAACCTGACCTAACCTAACCTAACCTGACCTAACCTAACCTGACCTAACCTAACCTAACCTGACCTGACCTTACCTAACCTAACCTGACCTTACCTAACCTGACCTTACCTAACCTGACCTTACCTAACCCTAACCTGACCTTACCTAACCTAACCTGACCTTACCTAACCCTAACCTAACCTTACCTAACCTAACCTAACCTAACCTAACCTGACCTTACCTAACCTAACCTAACCTAAGCCACTCACATCAACGTTTCTGGTTCACTCTTCCACCAAGAACCGTCCTCAAGCTACCGTGGATCTTGTAGAGTTTGCCATGGAGCGACGAGATGTTAATCCAAATGATGATGATGTTGTTATAGATTCAGTTACTCGGAACAAGTTCCAAGTAGCACGGGCTATGGTGAGCCCGTAACTTACCTGGCACAGCAGTGTGAATCCAAATGAAGTGGCGTCTGTTTATATAAGTATACCAAAAACGTTATATTTTTCCTATTAAGAAAACGTTATATTTTCTATTTTCCTATTCAGTGAGAGGATATGGGCAGCCCTCCGCGCTCTAGTTATCAATCTGTTATCATTCAGGCAACTTTTGTCTAACAGAATTATCGCCACCTTGTTTAGAGACCGATTTCCGTTCGCTGTTTAATGCAATCATTATCGTATCCCTGGAAACACAAACCGAAACTGTCTCTATTTTCCGCTTTTTACAACTTGTAATAAAGTTGTTACATCTTGGCTTAACGTGTTTATGACGTATTAGAACGTTGTTACAACTTACTATATTGGTTATTATAACTGGTTAGGAGGTGTTACAACTTGTTCGAACGTTGTACCAACGTCGTAGTTTCGGTGTGTGTTTGGCGGGATCTAACTACCTCGTTACAGACCGTGGCGCCGTGTAAAATATCAATTACGCTAATATTAATGAATCTATATGTAGGAAGAAAATCACCATTTTCTCGTAATTGGTATTCAGATGGATTTCACCGAACAGTTTCAACATCAAAAAGAACACCTTGTAACAAACGTAATTTGGTAATAACTGTGGCGAGAATTGGTTATATAACAAAGGTTCCATAGGTACAGTATCCTGCAGGTGGGCGAGGTAGGTCGCAAAGCAAAGGTGGAGGGTCTAAATGAACGATCTTCGCGCGCACACTCAATACTCCATTGAACAATGCAGAGTAAATACCATTTTTTTGGGGTGTTTCGGCGGCTGGGTTTGCGCGTTAGTTCAGAAAGTTGGAGGAAGAGCGGCCGACGGATGGCAGACAGGTGGTGGATGATGACAGGTGGGTGGCAGGTGGTGTGAGCACCGGGGATGGCAGGTGGGTGTAGAGGAGATCGCAGGAGAAGCGTGATGTTGCTCCCACGACGTTCTCCCCAACAGTGGCCCTCCAGTCTGCGTTGCCACGGCATCGACCCAGTGCTACCTTGCTGCCACACTCCACCTGTGGCTATGGAAATGTCTTGCTGCCACGTTCCGCCTGTGGCTATGGCAATGTCTTGTTGCCACACTCCACCTGTGGCTATGGCAATGTCTTGCTGCCACACTCCACCTGTGGCTATGGCAATGTCTTGCTGCCACACTCCACCTGTGGCTATGGCAATGTCTCGCTGCCACACTCCACCTGTGGCTATGGCAATGTCTCGCTGCCACACTCCACCTGTGGCTATGGCAATGTCTCGCTGCCACACTCCACCTGTGGCTATGGCAATGTCTCGCTGCCACACTCCACCTGTGGCTATGGCAATGTCTTGCTGCCACACTCCACCTGTGGCTATGGCAATGTCTCGCTGCCACACTCCACCTGTGGCTATGGCAATGTCTCGCTGCCACACTCCACCTGTGGCTATGGCAATGTCTCGCTGCCACACTCCACCTGTGGCTATGGCAATGTCTTGCTGCCACACTCCACCTGTGGCTATGGCAATGTCTTGCTGCCACACTCCACCTGTGGCTATGGCAATGTCTCGCTGCCACACTCCACCTGTGGCTATGGCAATGTCTTGCTGCCACTCTCCACCTGTGGCTATGGCAATATCCAGTTGCCTCACTCCTGCAATGTTGACCTCATTAAAAGTCTCAATGCTAAGGCAGTACGTAGTTTTAAATCTAAATATGATATAAAAACCGATTATATTTACTTCAGAATGCATTTCCTAACTGGTGGAGACGCTAAAGCTTTTTCATCTCGTAGAAATTCATATTAACTTCAAGCTGTTGATAAACTGCTATAAGAAAATGACTGACCTGAGCCAGAGATAACGACGCTAGTCAAGCCATCTACCATCATAAATATCAGACAGGGAAAAGGCAAGTGTTTATGGTCATGCCAATAACAACAGTCAGCTCTAACATGGACGAGGGTTCGATCCCATCTTACTGCCTCTCATCATGATCCAGGCTGGTGGTGCGAGTGCTGGGGGAAGAGTCCAGGAACGCCGGTTCGATCCCCTTTACATGCGGGCTCCATATTATGATAATACAATATTTTTGTTTACTATTTACAAATATAAACATTGAGGGAGAGAAACACAAAACGAAGACATCAACAGTCTAACTCGTCCTCAGAATAATCAAATGCGAATATGGATAATCTTAGGCCTAAGAATACGTTAAATTAGGCCTAGGACACGTTAAATTAGTCTTGAGAAAGCGCAGCGCCTTTCCAGTGGCGAGACTAATCTCCAAGACGGGGCAGGATATTACCACCACACAGCTGGGTCAACAAATGTGTCTGGTAGTCTCAGCCTTATCTTGAGATGATCTTGAGATGATTTCGGGGCTTCTTAGTGTCCCCGCGGCCCGGTCCTCGACCAGGCCTCCACCCCCAGGAAGCAGCCCGTGACAGCTGACTAACACCCAGGTACCTATTTTACTGCTAGGTAACAGGGGCATAGGGTGAAAGAAACTCTGCCCATTGTTTCTCGTCGGCGCCTGGGATCGAACCCAGGACCACAGGATCACAAGTCCAGTGTGCTGTCCGCTCGGCCGACCGGCTCCCGACCGAGCCTCTGTTTCACGGGTGTTCTAATACTTGCCACATCAACTATCATTCTCACACATTCCTTCATTTACTGTGAAACTGAAAACTAAATTATCCAAGAACTTTGGGACAATTCTCTCACAAAATGTTAAAAAAAATGGTTTCAGATATTTTACACACACTACTAATGATATATACTGCCGACAATCGAGGTCAGGAATCCCAACTTTGGCGATTGTATGAAGTAGATTACTACTGTAGCGTGTTCAGCTTATGGCTGTTGGCGTCTGGAGTTCATGAATCCATTAAGGCCACTACGGGCTCACCATAGCCCGTGCTACTTGGAAATCTTTGTTCCGAGTAGCTGAATCTATAAAAACAAGAACTATTATGAACCTCTGTAATCTTTCCACTGTCGCCCCATAGCTAAGTTTAGGCCTACGTAATAAAAAGTAGCACATATTATATTATATATGCGTAAATATTTGCTAGGAAAATGAAACGAAAGTTTCGAGTGTTTTTTGCTTTTAATATATATATATATATATATATATATATATATATATATATATATATATATATATATATATATAATAATTATACTAAGTTATACACCTGTCATATATAATTTTTTGTTTTTAGTGCTTAATTATTCTGACAATAGTTCATAACATGAATGAGGAGCAAATATCTAATATCTAGACCAAGCGGCATATACTTGGTTAAGCGAACATAACACGAGCAAAATGTCACGTATAATATACAGACTAAAAGAAACGAGGAACTGGAATATAATTGTTCCAGTCACTAGTAATTGGTACAGAGTGTGTATGTGTGATCAGTGTAAAGATCTAGTTTCTGTAGATCACGTGAGTGATAAGGTACGGAGAACCTCACCTTAAAACACTAACACGGATTTCTCCTTCCGTCCCTGGTCCTTCACTCATTCTCAGAATACGCCTGGGATATAGACGTATCTAGCAGCTTTCTCAAAACCCAAATGTCGAGTACACAATGTGTCAACTTTGTGAAAGAGAAAACATGCACTCTCTTGAACATTATATTGTAGAATGTCCCATACTGACTGACTTTCGCTCTCCTGGGCTAAGGTATGCTGAACTCTGTAGTTACTATATGAGTACTGGAACACTTGATGATATATTGGACTTGTATCCAAGATTGACCATGTAATATATCAATCATACAATGTATATATATGATGTAACTATATAACCTGAGCTTGTAAAAGCACCTTCATCACCTTCAGTGATTAAGTGCTTAATTGCACACTAGTTTCTTTATCAGCTACCTCACCCTGTCAGAGTAAATGAGACAAATGTATGTGAATGCATGTGTGTGTGTATATATATGTATGTATATGTGTGTGTGTATGTATATGTATGGGTATAAAGTATATATGGAAGCTGATCAGAATTACATTTCACCTTTGTGAATGTACATTAATGACACTATGTAAAAGACACATCTAACACTTTATGTAGGGCATACGTAAATCTGTGTATCTATGTATTTACGTATGTAGGTTAGCTTAGCATTTTAAAAGCGTCGAATCACCTTCTGTGGTTGAGTGTTCAATAAACCCTTGAACTATATGTTTAACACATCTCTAACCCTGTCCATGGAGGACAGAAGAAAATGTATATATGCTGGTTAGCATTGTAAATGTGTGGCCACGTCTGTGGTAGAAAATATTAAAAAAAAAAATCCTTCCCCCTTTCCCTTCCACTCCTCACCCTCCCTATCATCATCCTTCCCCTTCCACACACTTTCTTCCGCCACAGAGCCTTTAGTCCATGTCCTGAGACAGGCAAGAATTAACATAGTTATATGGTCTAGTGTTCATAATAGAGATCTGACTTGCTTTTCTGGCCCCCTCTGTGTTCTTCTGTCTCTCTTTCTGTTCCTATCTGTTTGTGTGTGTGTGTTGTTTCTGGCTTTGTCTCATTTCATATTTTCCTTTCACATTCCTCTGCCCTTTTCTGCTTTGTTTCTGTTTTCCTTTCTCAGCGTTTAGCCTCGTATGGCTCAATAGACCATCTGCCTTATTTATCCACTTTCTCCTCACCTTCTTTACCTCTCACCTGCTTTCAACTCACTTGCTTTGCCCTTTCTCCCCTCTTTCCCCCCCCCCCCTCGCCTTCCCTCTTGCCAGGAATCGACTCCCTCTCCTACTAAAACTACGTCACGGCTTAATAATGGGTCACAGCGGACCGGAACGTCATCATTTACATTTTATTTTCAGTGTTAACTAGTTTGGTTTATTTATTAAAGTCAATAATTACATTCTTCACCACGCAGAAGAAAAACAGTCTTAAATTCACACGTAAAATTGGGATTTTTTCCAGGATTTATACATAAATTGGGACAAGGTGTTAGTGCTTCTGTTGATGATGGTGGTGGTAGTGCTGTTGATGTTTGGTTTGTGCTGCTGTTGGTACTCCTGGTGATGTTGGTAATAGTGGTGATCGTGGGTTGCATTTGCAGTAATAGTAGACGTAGTAGTGATGGTGCTAGTAGCAATCGTGGTGGTGGTGGTGGTGGTGACAGCAGTGGTGGTGGTGGTGACAGCAGTGGTGGTGGTGGTGACAGCAGTGGTGGTGGTGGTGACAGCAGTGGTGGTGGTGGTGACAGCAGTGGTGGTGGTGGTGACAGCAGTGGTGGTGAAGGCCAGTCTTGGGGTGGGACGATAGGCATAGTGGTGGAACAGCTTTGGGATGAGAAAGATTGGTAACGACCAAATCATTGGCATTAGATTCATTATCAAACATCGTCATCAATCATCATCATCGCTAATGGTGACATCTTGAGGTCTTAGGCGCAGGCGATGAGTCACAATAACGTGGCTAAAGTATGTTGACCAGACCACACACTAGAAGGTAAAGGGACGACGACGTTTCGGTCCGTCCTGGACCATTCTCAAGTCGATTGTGGCGCAGGGAGCAGCTCCCTCGCGCCGACGAAGATCACGACAGCCAAGCACAGACCATAGATGATGAAGGCGCCCTGAAGGGGAAGAAACACACCTGCCTTAGATCAAAAAGAAATGGCACAACACACAAAATCGGAACCCCCGAAGCTTTTGAACGGTTTTACACACATAAATCACAATTGCGTGATGCATCAAACGATTAAGGCAGCGTCTGGGATGCTCCCGGACGCAGGTTCGAATCCTCGTCACGGCCCTTGTGGATTTTTGTTCTTTTGAACGGTTTTAATTGAACTGAGCAGGTTTGCAGTCATTCACTGCAGCCCTTACACGTATGTGCATCATCAGCTTCTCCGACATGATACCTTGTAACGAAGTCGCTGGTAATGGCTACCAAGATATGTACTAGATATTTATAGATATAGATAAAGATATTTACTGCCAGGGGGTGAGGTGATGGGAAGAGTATGGGTATGATACCATCAGGTAATGAGGTACCACCAGACGGTAAGGAGAGGGGGGGATGGGGGAAGCACTATGTAATGAAGCACCAGCTGATTAGAGGCTATTAGTGTGGAACCTTAGGATAATGAGGTACCATGCGATACAGAGTCTGGACGTGAGGTACCACTAAGAAGTGAGGAATGAGGGAGTACCTGCAGGTCCCGGAGGCTAAGAGGTCGGGTTGCCTCCTGGTAATCACTGTTGGTAGACTCATGCTGCCCCTGCATGAAGTCCTCCACCAGCACCTGTAGGTGAACATGGGAACAGGTATCGATCACTTACAATTTGCTTTCACATCATTTTGTATAAATTTGCATAACCAAGTCAAAGTATCTCAAAGAGACAACTGGAGACATGGATTCTGATGTAGTAGCAGTAGCAGAAACAAAATTAAGTGGGATTATTACGAATGTGAGATTCCTTAAGATTATATGCTAGCAAGGAGGGAATGAGCACAAGGGAAAAGGAAGTACAGATTTTCGGGTTAGAAAAGTGAACACTGAGGATATTATTATCGAGGTGAGAAATAGTTATCAAAGAATATATAACACAACTGACAGAAAAGAGTGGAGATAAAATAGATATGATGGAAGTGATTTACAGTTTCCCAGAAACAACAGATCTCCAGAACCTAGGCTTTATGACACATTTATGACGAGCATTGGCATCCTCAGGGAAGCAACTGGCAATGCCTAACATCTGTGTTAGGTATTGTTAGGTAATTTCTTTTAAGCTGTTCGGTATTTTGATATTTAACTAGATGGACACAACTTATCCACAGGCAGCTGATGTGGAAAATAAAGCTAAGAAAGACAGCTGAGAGACAGTTCCTGGTATAGTATGTAAAAATTCTTACTCCTGATACAGACTATTAAGTAGGAAACAGGACAAGAAGAAATGACTTCTCAGCTAGACTTGATTTGGTCTTTTTCTCAATTGAAGCAAACAGAGTACAATGAATATTAATTGCACTTGAAAACCAGCGACCACCTTAGCCCTGAATGTTAGAAAATGTTGAAAAACATTGATAGACGAGGATGAGAGTAACAGAAGACTAACACACGACAGAAGAAGACATTTATAAATCAGAGACATCTAAGAACACATAAAATGATAAACGGAACTCAGGTTATACAGCAACACAGGAAATGAACACCACAGGAAGGATATGCCAAGGAGCAGAGGACAACTTCAGACCACCTCCATGAGACAGAAGACTGAAACACACCACCAGCCCTTGATTCTGACACTGTGTTTCAGTCCTTTGTTGGTGTCTTCAAGCCGGTTATAAGAAGAAGAAAGAAAACTTGGAAGAAATGTGAAGTTTTACCTTCTTCCAGTACCGACAGAGACCAGACTCCACTAAAGCTTGGATGTAGCGATCAAACTTGTGTTTCCAGGAGGTCTTCTTCGGGAAGATCCACCCCACGTGAATTGGATAGATGGTTTCCGGCAGCAAGTAGGTCATAGAAAACACACGATAGAGAATCACCAAGTACTGCAAGAACTCTGTGCCCTCTAACAAGGCGTGCGTTCCTTCTTTGACCTGGAAAGAGAAAAAGTTATACAATTAAACAGAATGGAAACAAAACGTTCATATTTTAGTTTCAAGGACACTTAGGTGGAGTCGACTTCGCCGCAAGTGTCGACTTCGACACAGCTTCACCAGTGCGAAGCTTCTCACCTGTGCGAAGCCGACATCGTAACCGTAGTTGGGGATGAGCTTCATCTTCTGGCCGAGAGTGTGGAGCGTCGTGTGCTTGGAGGTCCGGAGGGCTAGTGGCACAAAGTTACCGTAGTCCACCATCGTCGGCCTGAAGAAGTTAGATCTGACAGGCATTATGATGTATTGAGATATTTGCTGCTCTGATAGCAACATACCACATAAAGAGACATACACAATGCCGGGGCTTTTCTCGCATACATGGGCATACACACAATTTTTAAACATAGAGAAAGTTCACATTCAGAACGTACAAAAACAAATGATCTATGTGGTAAGACTAAAGGTGTTATATATACCAAAATTACCACTTACATAACGGGAATTGATAAGGTGGAATTATTTTAATGCCGAATCGTGGAGACAAGAGCAGACCGAACCAAACTACGCAAATAAAAGTTTCAAGAAAACAGACGAATTGATATCGTAATGGCACAGTTGAGGACAGATGGAAAGCTTGGCAAGAGAGGGTAGTGTCATGACTCTATAAGCGTTCAGAACGAACTGAAACATTGATCACAACCTGGAGGCTTCAAAATTCTGTACTACGAAGTTAATCTGTGAAGATGGGAAACCCCGGGCCGTACCTCTGAACCTGCAACTGCATTTAGGTAAACACACACACACACACACACACACACACAGGTGGAAACTGAGTGCCCAAATGAGCCACAGATATATTAGAACTTTTTTAGTGTCAGAGTGGTTGACAAATGGAATGCATTAGGCAGTGATGTGATGGAGGCTGACTCCATACACAGTTTCAAGTGTAGATATGATAGAGCCCAATAGGCTCAGGAACCTGTACACCTGTTGATTGACAATTGAGAGGCGGGACCAAAGAGCCAGAGCTCAACCCCCGCAAGCACAACTAGATAAATACAACTATGTGAGCACACACAGGGCTCGACAAACGCAGTGGTAAGACCAGGGGGTTCGACTTGGTTCGGCATAAACAAATAATGACGTAACCTAATTGTGCCCCCACTCTAATGTGAGTGATTAGAGGGGCATAATTAGCCTGACACATACGTGAGGGCAGACTGTGCCAGTTCCTTCAGAGTGGCGAGGTAGTGACACATACGTGAGGGCAGACTGTGCCAGTTCCTTCAGAGTGGCGAGGTAGTGACACATACGTGAGGGCAGACTGTGCCAGTTCCTTCAGAGTGGCGAGGTAGTGACACATACGTGAGGGCAGACTGTGCCAGTTCCTTCAGAGTGGCGAGGTAGTGACACATACGTGAGGGCAGACTGTGCCAGTTCCTTCAGAGTGGCGAGGTAGTGACACATACGTGAGGGCAGACTGTGCCAGTTCCTTCAGAGTGGCGAGGTAGTGACACATACGTGAGGGCAGACTGTGCCAGTTCCTTCAGAGTGGCGAGGTAGTGACACATACGTGAGGGCAGACTGTGCCAGTTCCTTCAGAGTGGCGAGGTAGTGACACATACGTGAGGGCAGACTGTGCCAGTTCCTTCAGAGTGGCGAGGTAGTGACACATACGTGAGGGCAGACTGTGCCAGTTCCTTCAGAGTGGCGAGGTAGTGACACATACGTGAGGGCAGACTGTGCCAGTTCCTTCAGAGTGGCGAGGTAGTGACACATACGTGAGGGCAGACTGTGCCAGTTCCTTCAGAGTGGCGAGGTAGTGACACATACGTGAGGGCAGACTGTGCCAGTTCCTTCAGAGTGGCGAGGTAGTGGGGCTTGCTAGGCACGGTGATGTAGGCGACCAGGTTGCTGGTGTAGGAAATAGAGACGATTATGGCCAGTAGTATCCACGTCCCTTCATATAACCTGTCAAACCAATACACAAACAATACAACAGATGTTGACCAGACCACATACTAGAAAGTGAAGGGACGACGACGTTTCGGTCCGTCCTGGACCATTCTCAAGTCGATTGTGATGAGGAAGATTGATTGATAAAAATTAAGCCACCCAAGAGGTGGCACGGGCATGAATAGCCCGTAAGGCTGAGGAAGTAAATGCAGGCAATAAATAGGCTAGAGAAAAGTAAGGAGCAAAGTGTAGTAGAGGGAATAGTAGTAGGAATAAGAATCATCACAATCGACTTGAGAATGGTCCAGGACGGATCGAAACGTCGTCGTCGTCCCTTCACCTTCTAGTGTGTGGTCTGGTCATCATACTTCAGCCATGTTATTGTGACTCATCGCCTGCATAAAACAACAGATAATATCACAGATGAGTGTCTTTGCACATTGCGCATGTGCTGGTGTGTGTATTCAACCCGTTCTCGCACTTTCGTATAGTCAATATTGACTTATTAAATACGTGCATATGTGACATACTAAACATACTAGTTTACCTTGAAAATCTTCATAGAAAACACCGACCTTACCTAACCTTCTTAGTATGTTAAGATAAGCATCTTATTGCTTCGTAATTACAATTATTACTTAACCTATTATAGGTATAGGTTAAGTAATAATTGTAATTATGCTGCAATAAGATGCTTATCTTAACATACTAAGAAGGTTAGGTAAGGTCGGTGTTTTCTATGATGCTTTTCAAGGTAAACTAGTATGTTTAGTATGTCACATATGCAAGTATTTAATAAGTCAATATTGACTGTAAGAAAGTGCGAGGACGAGTTGGTGTATTGACGGAGGGGGCCCAGTTACCTGAAGGCGAGGGGTGCAGGGGGCCACGAAGCGTTCTGGTTAATGAGGGCCCTTATCACCAGCAGGGCGCTCGTACTCCTCCGCTCCTCCTGTCACGCCATAAACCATCTTTATTATGGAAATTCTCGCAAATCTTCCTAGCTATTATCTGTGAAGTTAATTCTGAGTCATTTTTCGCATATCGCTCAAGACGTAAATACTCGATGGACTCTGGAATTAACTTATTAATTAACCGATTCCTCCAGGTAAACTCCTGGTGAGACTTAACTATTATTAACAATATGAATTAGCAGTAGAAGAGATTCAAGATGGACGCTACGATGTTGCTGTACAAATATAATTATGTTCTTCAAATCTAATGTACTTAGAACTTTGTTCTACTTAATATAGTAAGATACGGTTGTTTTTGTCGTAGATAATTTGAAGTGTAAATAATGATTTGGTGTCCCTAATATTGGTGATTTGTCCCTCATACTGTGTTAGGAAATAAGTAACAATGTTAGTTATTTATACACGCAGAGTCTATACAAAGTTTGGAATTGATTTGGAAGAGGAGTCTCTGGAGCACTGACCTGGAGGATGAGCCTGTGGAGCACTGACCTGGAGGATGAGTCTGTGGAGGACGAGTCTGTGGAGGACGAGTCTGCGGACGACTGACACTGTCACCATAGAGACCAACACTGCCAGCCATGTCTGCCACCTACGCAGACGTAGATTCTTCAGTGTGTGTGTGTAAGCGCGCGTGTGTGTGTGTGTGTGTACTCACCCAGGTGTGCTTGCCCCCTCATAATTTTCACATCACGAGCAAAATTGAGAGGAATGAGTTTACTCCCACTGGAAGATCGAAACTGAGGGACTTCCCTAGTGACATCTCGTCACTCTCAAACCTCACTCCCTCACAGTGACTGTCTTGTGTTGCTTAGATACTCCCTTCTCCAATGGAACACCTCTCCCTGTCACGCCTGCTTGGCTTCGCGGACGGGTATGTGTGCGTGTGAATGCGTGTATTGGAACAAATACATGTATATATTTGTTTAATTTGTATAAATACAAATACGTGTATTTGTGTATGTTTCTATGGGAATGTACTAGGTCATACATGCGCTTAGATAGTTCAAATACAATACAAAATATATAATGAAATATAAATAGGAAATAACCTGATAAAATTGTATTAAAGAAAATTATTTCTTATATATATATAAGGGAAATTTAGAGTGATGGAAGCGCTCATACGTGAAGGGCAAGACGATGGCCCACCAGCGGGGCTGTGGTAGGGGGTTGTGGAGGACAAAGCTGTAAGAGTCGGTGAAGTAGGGAACGCTGAAGTCTACGGCCTGGTAGCGGTCCTCCACGATGGACATGACGTTCACACACAGGTCCCTGTAAAGGAGGGAATGTATATGCTTATCTCTCGGAATGTTCGGTAATATGTTTATTGTTTGTGATGTGTGTCTATATATGTATGAACACGTTGTACGGAACGGGGTGAGAATAGCTTGAGCTACCTCATCCCTTTGTGTGTATTTTACTTCAATAAACTTATTTCAATTTCAATTTCACACACAGGTCACTGTAATAACACACCTGCTGGCATTATTATACCCAGGAAACAGGGGAAGCAAGAATATATCATGGGTTTTAAAGTATTCACTTACGAAAGCAGTGGATCTTTTCCTCAATCGTGGCAGCTTATTTTGCGTTTACTAAACAGTTTTATGAGCTCCGAAGCGCTTCGAGGTTGTTCTTGATTAACAATAATAAACTTTGAGGAAGATTCCAAGCTTGCAAGATTTTTTTTTCTACCACAGACGTGGCCACACATTTACAATGCTAACCAGCATATATACATTTTCTTCTGTCCTCCATGGAGAGGGTTAGAGAAGTGTTAAACATATAGTTCAGGGGTTTATTAAACACTCAAGCTTGCAAGTACAGGCTAAGCTGCCTTGATCGTAGAAAGATATACAGGTTTCGTAATTGAACACGTATATCGCTTGATAAATCCCGGCTCTGGAGTTTAAGAAGTACAAGTTCTTACTGAACCATGAGCGTGTGGATTACAACCGGAGAACCGCCCGGTTCCACGGGTCGTGCAGGGCGCTAATTCACACACCATTTGTTTACGTAATTAAATTGTCTTCCGGTTCTCCGGTTGTAATCCTAATTGTGTTCTTGGTGCAGCATGCAGTAGCTGGTGACGAATATAATCATGGGTCGCGGTTCGAGTCTTGCATTAGGTGCACGTTAAATAACGATGTAATACAATGTTCAAATCCTTTACAGCCAAACTTTGTCTACAAACAAAACAAAAATTATGTCCGAGACTGGGGATCAGATGCTAGTGGCTAGCCTCACTCAACTTCCCGCAATGATGTGTGATTGTATGGTGTAGTGAAAATAATTTTGAGATAATGGAGTGACTTGAAGCTGCTTTCTGGTGAGGTGAGATCGATATGGGAGAGTGTTATATAGGGGAGTCGGGGTCGAGCCCCATGCCCTTCCTCGAGTACGGTTGGCTCCTATTGCGACTACCAATTACTCTTATGAAATGGGGTTTTCTTTTCCACATTTTTTTTCTCCGGATTTTCAGGTGGTTATCACACACATAAACGTAGCCTCGATGTTGTGACAACGTTGCACCAAAGTCACAATGGAAAAATTAATGTTGTGGTTACGTTGTTTGTCGGGTGTGTATATTGCATGTTCTGAAAGAGGGGGAAAGGGAGAAAAGGAGAGAAAAAAAGAGAGTGAAAAGGAGAGAGAGCCAGACAGAGAGATCTATACACAGAGACCCCGAGGCCCTGCCGGATACCTGAAGGAAATCGAAGTACGTGAAGGAAATATTATACACAGTAACTCGAGAATCAACACACCCACACACACTACGGGCTCACCATAGCCCGTGCTACTTGGAACTTTTTTGTTCCAAGTAGCGAATCATTAACAACAACAACTCGAGACTAATAATACTTGCTTCTCCCTCCTCCAGACCTGACCAACCATGCCAATCCACGAGCCGTTGACTAACTCGCCCCACGACGCCTTCGCCTCATTATCGAACTCGTAACTAAAATTCAACTTCCGTGAAATCTCGTTGAGCATGTTGACGCCAATCCCGTAAGTCTTGTGTAGCGTTGCCCCGGGGACCAGGTAAGGGAAGTCGTCAGCCCAGCTGGCCAACTGCAGGTTGTGACCGTAGAAGCTCTTAAAGCGGTCAGGGAAGACACTCCTGAATGTCTGTGGCTTAATGGCGTTGTAGATGCCATGGAAAGTTATCTTGTTATGCGGATGGAAAGTCTCGTAGGTGAGGATGTAGTAGCAGGCGGCGTCGTTCTTGTTGCAAGGTTGCAGGAGAGAGAGGAAGGGGCTGTAGCTGAAGCTGGCTTGGGCAAGTAGTCGCGTTGCATTGACCGAGGCGTTTACGTCTACCAAAAGGAGGGTGTTTGGGGTCCAAAGTCTCTCTGGAGCTTCTTCGACGAAGTGATTGATGACCCGCTCTGAGCTCAGTAGGATGATATGAACGAAGCGTGCATCGTTGTACTTGCCCAGCCAAGGCGCCTTGAGGAGTGCAGCGTCTGAGATGTCGAGGATCACCGCTGGAGGGCCAGGGCTCTCCTCAAGGTAACGCTCCAGGACACCGATGCTCTCAAGCTCTGCGTCGTGAAGAAAAACAGGATTTTGGTCCTTTAGTGTAGTTGACATTAGGGACAGAAGAATATTCGTAGACTTGGTTTCTTGGCTCCAGCAACTACCTAACACACATCTTGACCCACTACCACAGTCTTGAGACCGTCTCGTCTCCCTCACCGCGGTAGAATAGTTATGGAATTCAACATTTGGTTCGTCCAAAGCTTCCATTCTCGACAGATGTAAAGTCTTAGAGGAAACATTTCTTGCAATCTTGCGTTTACCTTCAAGCAGAGATTCTGACACAACTAACTGTAGTGAGCTCCTTAGCAGGTAACGCCTGATATAATCCAAGAAATAGGAAGAATCATGAACAACTGTCTGAATCGGTGTCCCCGGGTGTGACTGGCTCCCAAGGGTGTGGCTGGAAGCCACTACCAATATCACCATCCACATCATGTCCCTCAAAGAAGAATTTATCAACTCTGAAACAAATTTCCTAGTAAATAGATTTTAATATGCGGGATTTCACTTACAATAAAACATTATATATCACGCTAATGCAAAATGATTACATACTAAATGATAGTTAAATTAACAAATATTGTAATGTTGGGGGGCAGTGTAACACAACTTAAAGGCCATTACACATTAGACAACCACACAACAGCTGGCTTCAAGAGAGACGTTGTTGTTGTTGTTAAAGATTCGCTACCTGGAACAAGAAGTTCCAAGTAGCACGGGCTATGGTGAGCCCGTCAAACTTAGGAGAGACGACGAGAGACTCTGTGAATGTCCTGATGAACCAACTCCATAGGACTGGCGGCGGCGCAGGTCATATATATACATATGACCAACATTGCATGTATGCGCGTGCGTAGGTCACACGTAACCAACCCCCCCCCCTCCTCCCCCTCACCAGCGCAGTTGCGCGTACAGAAAGAGGGAGATATACACATAGCATTATTCCATTGTGATGATTAATACACCATCAGCCACGACCTGGATAATGCAGGATCTGCAACCTTTGGTATTGTGACATTCAGTGCAACTGTTGCAGTTCATTTTGGATATGATCGGCATTTGATTACCAGAGAGAGAGAGAGAGAGAGAGAGAGAGAGGAGAGAGAGAGAGAGTGAGAGAGAGAGAGAGAGAGATTAATAAAGAGAGAGAGAGACAGAGGAGGATCGGGCTGTCAAATGAGCTGAGAGAGAGAGAGAGAGAGAGAGAGATTAATAAAGACCAGAATATTGAAATTGGTTGAATGAAATCAAAACATAAATACATGATTTCTGACAGAGAAGGATCGAATACTCGGATTTCAGCTGTCAAATGAGATGAATTTGACAGCTGAATATTCGGATTTCAGCTGTCAAGGACAGCAACCACGCATCTGGTCTGAGACCGGGCCACGGGGTGACATTGATCCCCGCAAGCAACACAAGGTAAACACAAGGTACGTACCAGCCGTTGAATGGAGGTTCATTGAAGTTCAAAGTTTGTTTGCTGTAGTTTGCTGTAAACCGTATATGTTTAATTACTGAAGGAGGGTGTGTGAAAGACCTTCCCCTCGGGGTGGGGGGGGGGGGGGGGTAGTGTTTAAGTGATAAACGATTTTCTGTTTATCATAATTAAAGAGGGTAACCGGGGATTCCCGGGTCTCTGTGTCTACCTCTCTGCCCCCCCCCCCTCCCTCCCTACCCTACCTCCCTACCCTACCTCCACCCCTTTCTTCCGCTCTTATTCCCCTCCCCCAAACCTCTACTTCCCCACTCTTCCCTCTTACCCCTTCCTCTCCCTCTCTTTCTCTCTGTTATTTACTCTTGTACTTTGCAAGAGGGAGACGAGTGCCTCCCTCTTGCGTCTTATTTATCTCATTTCTCTCTTTAATTCTCTGCGCCGCTCACACGCCATATCCTTCCAAGTTCACGGTTACCTTACCTTGAGGTGCTTCCGGGGCTTAGTGTCCCCGCGGCCCGGTCGTCGACCAGGCCTCACGGTTGATATTCTTGTTGCAAGGTTTCAATGGCAGTTCTCGAATCTGTATGTAGGACAACATGGTGTTGGTGTTCAGCAAGAGCATGTTGTTGGTGTGCAGCAAGAACATGTTGTGTAAAGCCTTTTGAAGGGCTAGCATCTCTGTTTATGAAGTTGAACACCGGTTTGAGACAAACCCCTGACTTAACTACCGAATTTCCTGCTTTAAATGCCGTTCCAGATTATCATGTCTGCTGAGCTATTGATCCGTCTTTGAAGTATGTGAAGCTGCCAGATATATTCTGCTTCTGTATTCACCTGTTTCCTAGCAGTAAATAGGTACCTGGGAGTTAGTCAGCTGTCACGGGCTGCCTCCTGGGGGTGGAGGCCTGGTCGAGGACCGGGCCGCGGGGACACTAAAGCCCCGAAATCATCTCAAGATAACCTGAAGACAAGATAACCTGTATAATGATGGGTAGGCATTAGGGGGTCATAGTTTCATTCCTTTTCCCTTGAAGAAGCATGATATTAAAGTCTGCTGGGGAGGATTCCCAGGGGGGTATGTAAATGTAACCAAAGCCGTCATAGACTGAGGAAAGATGTACACGTTCGTAAGTACTTGCGTAACTGCTTCGTGAATTTGGCCCCTACTTTACACCCTCAGTCCTCGCCATGTCTTCTCTCATCTCCTTCCAGCGTCGTTACGCAAGGGGGGCTTGCATAACGACGTCTTCGGCGAATATTTCATCGACAGCATTCTCAGTGATTGTATTGCTGCTGTTTAATAAATGCAGACTAAACCGCCATGATTATGGAAAGATGTACAGCTTTCGGAAGTGGACCAGTATAATGCTAGGTGAAAACTGGCCCTTGGTCTCTTAGGCTTCTAGTCATCCCAATCTGTTCATATTATTATAATCTTTTAATCATTAACTTTTTGATCTGGAGGTATATATATACCTTAAGCTAATAACAAATTTCTTGTTTTCATATGCTATACAGCGTCGTTAACAGTGAGGTTCTACGCTACAGCTTCGTTAACAGTGAGGTTCTACGTTACAGCGTCGTTAACAGTGAGGTTCTACGCTACAGCTTCGTTAACAGTGAGAAGATCATACTGGACAGACACAAAAGCCTGACATAGGTTCTCAGCGTTTGCGATCTATCTCGTTAATCCTGCCTAGCATAAACTCCTCCCTCCCCCTTTCCCTGTCATTCGCGCCCCATGATTGTATCACGAGCGAAGCGCAGAACCGCGAGTTCCCTTTGCTTTCGCGAGAGCGCCAGAGAGCTCGCATGCAAGATTCAGTCGAGGTGGTGGGGGGAGTAGTGGATCGACGTCCCTTCACGGTTGGTGAGAGAAGGGGGGGGGGATGGAAGAAGGGGCATTACGACCCCTCTTCGTGGCAGGCGGGGAAGGGGTAGAAGGGTTGCTTCCCATCCCAGGAAGGGGGTGGTTTGAAGGGAGCGTGGGAAGCACAAGGTGGTGAGCGAAGCTTCGCTGTCATGGCTCGTTGTTGATTCATATCTTAGGTTGCGACAATTCGCCAGCATTAGTAACCTGGTGACTCCACGACCTGCTGGAGCGACAAGGAAGTATAGTGATCACGGAAGGTGACAGGGGGAAAGTGATCTTCGGTGAAGACATGGGAAGTACTCGAGGGAAGGGAACAGTGACATACTTACGGAAGAGAAGAGGAAAGTACTCACGGGAGAGGACAAGAAAGTATCCACAGGAAGGGGACCGGACAGGACTCGGGAGAACACGCACGGAGAACTCAAGGAGAAGAACAGGGTTAAGACTCAGGGGGGAGAAAGAGGAAGGGAGACTTAGAGTAGACTGGAGAAAACCGGATAGAGGAACGGTTAAAGAGAACCGGAGAGACAGACCCGGAGAAAGAGAACCATGGGGGACTAAAACAGAGAATGCGTTCTATACATTTATTCAATAGCCAGCATTCGAAGCATTCATGTCTGTCTTACGTAGACAAGGTTTAAGAGCTGCTCAAGATCGTAATGAGTTAAAGAGCAACTCATCAACTCATACATCCGAATGCCACTGCATGAATATCCTTCCTCTGGCCTTGTATATAGAGCTAAGAGGCAGGTTAGAGGGACAAGGTACAGGTTACATGGACTTATAAGGAGCTATAAACTTTCTTACTGCCTCCCACAATCGTTGTTTAACTCCCGGGTACCTATATTTTACTGCTAAGTGAACAGCTCCATCAGGTGAAATGAAACGTGCCCAACCGTCTTTGTCCTGCCCGAGGGTCAGGCAGGGATGTGAGCCGAGGACGAAGTCTATTGTGCTAGAACAAGGGGAACCTCTTTAAGCGGTAGTCGCCTTCAGTACCTCTTGCTAGATGCATGTTTTAATGTGTGAAGTATACGAGTAGGGTCTAAGACCTGAGAAACGTATGTACCCCCTCGCTCAGTCATTGCTACTCTATGAACAAACCCAACTCAACCCAACATAATTTAACCTAACTCAGCGTAACCTAACCCCCACTTACTCAACCGAAGTTAACCCAACCCAACCTAACCTAATCTAACTCAACCCAACCCAATCCAGCCCAAGTTAACCCATCCAAGCCCAACATAACATAACCCTTCGGCTCCAACATAAAGGAGACTATAGACTATAGTTATTTTTTATTTATTTTTATTTTTTTATTTATTTATATATACAAGAGCTCTTACATTCTTGTACAGCCATTAGTACGCTGTGCGTTACAGGCAAGTCCTTAATACTATGTTCCCTGGAATACGACCCCGCGAAAAGTCGTTTAACTACCAAGCATCCATTTTACTGTTGAGTTAAACAGAGGCTACAGTTAAGAATTTGCGCCCAGTAAATCCTCCCCGGCCAGGATACGAACCCAGGACAAAGCGCTCGCGAAACGCCAAGCGAGCGTCTTAACCACTACGCCACGCGAACTGCGTGTTATAGTGTTATATATCATGAAAGGCTCACCATACATATAGAAAACAGCGTATCAATTCATTAATTCTTTCTTTTCGTCCATTTGGTCGCTCATAATTCAGAAATGGTTATATTTACCCGAATTTACCTGAAAACCATCATCTCTAGAAGGCCCTGACTGAGACAGAAATCGGTGGCTTCTCAAACGTTTCATTATTCCTCAAGATTTTTTTTTGTGTTTTTTCTCCAGCTAAAGTTTAAACTGAAGTATTATCTTGGCCTTAGAGAGTTTAGAAGGGAGAGAGGAAGTTTGTTGGGTTTATCGAGGTCCCCCCTAGGGTCTAAGGCAAATAACTGACTTTCTCTTTACCCCTTCCAAGGGCTATATAGTCGTAATTACTTGGCGCTTCCCCCTGATAGTTTCCTCCTTCCTTCCTTCCAGCATGCAAGTCACAACAGTCTCTTAGCTCCAGGGTAAAAAGAGACTTCAGCGGAAAGGAAAATGCGGTCTGAACGCTCCTGTAAAGCACGGGAAGTGAGCTCGTGTTCTTGCATCGTAATTTGTCACG